ATAGAGAGGGATTTAGGAGAATGGGGAAGACAGAGGACAGGAAGATGGAGGATAGAGAGGAATTTAGGAGAATGGGGAAGACAGAGGACAGGAAGATTGAGGATAGAGAGGGATTTAGGAGAATGGGGAAGACAGAGGACAGGAAGATGGAGGATAGAGACAGCTTTCACTAATCACAGTAAAAGGTACCATAGCACTGCCCCCCCACAGAACTTGCATGTGTGCATATGAAGAACTGCGGATTTACACCACCCTCAGTACCTTGTGCATATAGTGAGTATATATAGCAATACTCACTTGCTGATGTACTCTCCACTCAGTACCTTGTGCATACAGTGAGTATATATAGCAATACTCACTTGCTGATGTACTCTCCACTCAGCACCTTGTTGCAGGCTTTACACTTGAAGCAGCCCAGGTGCCATTGCCTGTCGAGGGCCAGCAGGGCCTGACCATTCTTAATGTCCCTTCCACATCCGGCACAGCCTGTGCACACACACAGGGCAGTTATTCACATTTACATATTCAAATCTTCACATACACTCACAACACATTTTACATCAATCACCGATTGCAAGCAACCTTCAGATTTCAAATGAAGACTTGACCACTAGGTGGCAGCAGAGGCCAAGAATCTGACAATCACTCTTGGGGTTTCTGCTTTGTTAGCCTTGCTAAATCCCTGCATGAATATACTGATAGCGGATAGAAAACAGCGTTCAGTGAGTGATGAGTCATAAATATGAGTCACAGTTTGCCATCCACACAGAAGCATGAAGGAAAGGAAAGCAGGTCATGGGCGAGGGGTGATAATGGACACTGACCTGGTTGGGGGGGGGTACCTCAATGTGTCTGAGTGCGTGAGTTGGAGTACAAGGTAAGCAGGTGGGCCTGTAGCAGGCATGTGAGTGTGTGAGAGGATGAAAAACAACCAGACGAGAGTGCCCTGTCTGCACCAACTGTCTGTATCAGACTGTATCGGATAGAGGACACCTCACAGACACCCAGATATGCAAAATGTCCTTTGCAACACCTGTTCCAGACTGTTCCATGGTACCATGGCAACAGGGAGAGACTGCAGACGGTGTCCTTGTCTGGGTCTCTAGGCATGCTGTGCCGGAGATACTCAGGTAGCCTGAAGCTTTAGGATTGTGAGAGCTTGAGTGATTTCACAGCACGTGTATCTACTGGGTAGGTAGAAATGTACATGATACAGATGCAGAAGACAGACACTGGGACTGGGAGGAGACTGTCAAAGATAATGGGCAGGGATGGACGCTGGAACTGGGTGGAGATTGACCTTGATAATGGGCAGAGATGAACACTGGAACTGGGTGGAGATTCAACTTGATAATGGGCAGAGATGGACACTGTTGTTGTGTGGAAATTGACCTCAATAATGTCTGAGACAGACATTGAAACTGGGTGGAGACTGGCCCTGATCATCGGCAGAGACAGACACTGCTGTTGGGTGGACACTGAGGGTAGGGTAGATTAACCCTGCTTTGGAGAAAGAACAACTTTTGCCGGGACTGTGTGACTATGCTCTCTGGTCTTCGCTTGTATGTCACTTTGGAAAAGTCTCTGCTAAATAAATAAAAGTAAGTAAAGGAGATGGACGGAGCACCCAGAACTATGTGCCATTAATCCCAGACAAAGAGCCTTCTTCCTACTGCGGGGCCGAGTATTGGGAGGCCCAGCAGCCCATGACCAAGAGGCTCACCTGAGCCTCTCAGAGGCCACCGGCGAGGAGGGCTGGGCACGGTGTTGTAGCGTGATGACAGACAGTTTCCTATGCTGTCAGAATATGGCATTGCTCAGCAGCAAGAGGCACAAAGGTGGTCTTTGAGCGCAGCAGAAGTGGCTGATAGGAGCCAGGAGGCTGCACAAAGCCCCTTTCTTCGCATCCAACACTACAGAAGACTAATACGACGTATGAGAGTTTAGGAGGTGTCTTACATCCAGAGTGAGAGAGCATGGTGATGCCTCAGTGAGGCTGGCCTGTGCTCCTTCCCCTCTTCTCTGCAGGAGCAATGTCCTGCAGAAGGTGTCAAGGCGGGAATGTGACGTCCTCAGCTGAGGCTCACCTCAGTCTTGCATAAGCCAAACATCTTAGCCTAGACACAGCACCATTTTTTTGTTTATACATGTCAAGAAGTCCTGCTGTGTGAAAGTGTGCATAGCTGTGAGTTCTGTGCACGGGGGTGTGGAGCCAAGTGCGGCCCTGTGACATCTAGGTGCGTGGAAGTGCAGCTGGCACTCACTGCTGGAGCCGCAGATGTCCCTTGGCGTGGGCGACACGGGTTCGACGCAGCGCTGACACAAGCAGTCTTTCCCGTTGAAGGTGACTCGGTCCCCAGCAGGAAACGGGCGCCTGGGACACAGAAAAACATGGGCTTCAGGCTCTGAAGGACCACATGACCTGAGCAAGAGGACCACATGACCTGAGTAAAGCAGGCTCCATTATTGCGCATTAAAGTATTGGAAGTCTGCCTGGAATATGAAAACTTGTGATGCTTTGCAAAGTCTTGACCCCCCGACCCTGAGGGAAGTCTGTGTTGGGCTGTGCAGGACCCCCAGACCCAGAGGGAAGTCTGTGTTGGGCTGTTTAGGGCCCCCAACCCTGAGGAATGTCTGTGCTGGGCTGTGCAGGACCCCCTGACCCTGAGGGAAGGCTATGTTGGGCTGTGCAGGACCCCCCAACCATGAGGGAAGTCTGTGTTCGGCTGTGCAGGACCCCTGAGCTGGCCACTTCAGGTAAAAAGATCTTACTTGCACAGGGTGCAAACGAAGCAGGCGGGGTGGTAGGTCTTGCCCAATGCAGTGACCACCTCACCCTCCACAAAGTCCCCACAGCCATTGCAGCGGGTCCCGTGCATGCGCTGGTAGTCCAGGGTGCAGAGATAATCCCCGTTCTTCATGAAGAAGCCGCCCTGGGCCAAATCGCAGCCACACACTGCAGGAGAGTGGTCAGAGAGGTCAGGTGGCAGATCACTGAAATGCAGCAGATCACTCATACACAACTGATCACGGAAACAGAGAAGATCACTCACACACAGTAGATTACTCACACACAGCAGATCACTCACACACAGCAGATGACTGCTCCACAGTGCCATTCAGTTCCCTGACAACTTCTAATTAGTATGTGTGTGTGTTTTTTTTCTAAGGCGAGGGGGGGCGCTCAGGTGTAATCCTATCAGGTGTGGTCCTTCATCAACCATTGCAGGCCATCAGGGTTTTGTGACTATAAGACATAAATGAGAGACCTACATATATCTGAATGAGCCAAAGGTCACGCTCTGGGCCTAGAGGTCACGCCCTGGAGATGACGCCAGACAGCACCAGCACTGAATGCTCCAGAATGAATGGCACAGGGGGGTCAGGAGGTGTTTATAAATACCCGCCTAGATGGGAACATGCATAATGTAACACAGAATAGGGCGAGGGGGGCTTTCATCAGCAGAGCCGGGACACTTAATTCCAGGAAGCCCAGTATATCAAACACACACCTGCACTCTCCGAGGACAATGACTGATCAATATTTCCCACAACTGAGACAGTAAATGCCCCTTTAAATAATGCTGAATTAAATATGACATATTCCTGGATTCCAGCACCCTCACAATCTGTGGCCCAGCCTCAGGAGACTCCAGCAGGCACTGGGATACATGTCACACGTGAGTGCTCCACGTGTGCTCGTGTCACACATGTGTGTGTTTGTCATATGTCACGGTCTCGCAGCAGCTGCAGCTTCCACGAATAGCTCAGTGGAGGGATGGAGCCTGGCCCTCGTGCTGCCGGGGGTGTAACACCACCAATACGCCCATAGGATACTGTGTATTAAGATGCCCCCAGGGGTATGTTTGAAAAGTTTCAGGGTGCCCCTCTTCACTTTTGGGCAGCACAGTTACAAAGTCCTAGAGCACCAGCTGAACTAAGTGCTTTTGTTGGGACTGTGGGAGGAAAATGCAAACTCCACACCTATAGCTGGAGGTGCTGAGGCCCCTATTCCAACCTTTACAGAGAAACAGACTTATGCCACCCATACCATTCCAGGGAGTTCCCCTGAAGCACTCAAGGCACTTAGAGTACAGCATGCCCACAGGGACCCGACCTTGAAAGCTCACACACTTCTTAGGCAGAGCAGAGAGGACCCCTACCACACACTCTGATTGGGCTTGTGCTTCCCGTAGTATATTTTAATTGGATGTGGAGACAGACATGACAAACTGGCCCACTGGGTGTCTGACGCCCACACCCTCTCGTAAAGGCTCAGTTTGAGAGCCTACTTTACCAGACTACTCTACTTTACTTTACTACGTTACTTCCTGTCTGTCAGCCCCTGATTTCCTGTTGAGGCTGACGCAGAGCCCTAGAGAGGCAGCTCTTATGGTAGACATCCATCAAGACTGGCGTCAACCTGACTGAAACTAATTCGAAGCTGAGAGTCAGTCCCAAGTATGGAAGATGCTGTGTCAGCTGACCAGAAAAGACCAATCACATGGAGCCAGCCAGGAGGAGCCAGTCAGGAGGAGCCAGTCAGGCACCCGAGGGAATACACTGCACTCCTAGGAGGCACTTCCAGACTGGAGCAGCTGGAGCAGCTGGAGCAGCTGGGGTGGGTCTGGGAAGGGGGAGCAGATCCTGGAATGATGGCAGGTGTCTGGGGAACTGTGAAACCTAAATATTTTTATGTGATGCCATGAGGCTCCTAAAGCTTTATTTAGTTGCAAAAGCCACCCCTCTGACAGCTTAAAGACAAATGGCTAATTCCTGGCCCCTGTCCCTGCCATCGACACCATACCACACCCAAAATTCCTGCCTTGTAACATCCAAATTCACACCACTGCCAACAGGCCGACAGACATAAGAGAAGCTCAGAGGAAGATGATGAACATTGGAGAGAAAGATTGACGTGCCAGCAGGTTTTTGGTTGGTTTCGACACAGTAGGGACTAAATCAGCCCTGAAGTCCCGCCCCCCCAAACACACAAGGTACTCTCACAATATGGGTAGGACATGTCCTTACCAATCACACCCACACCCAAATTCACACTCTTGTGTCTAACACCACCAAGAGTGCTGGTGTAATGGGGGTTCCTGGGATGCCTGACAATGCTATAAACTTCAGGAGACGGTCTGTGCGTTTAACTCAAAGCAGCAGGAGAGATGTTTTCACTCATTTGCCATTAATCTAAGCTCAGTAAAACCATTTAGCTCAGAGTCATAAATGGCCCTGAAACCCTCTTAGTTCCACGTCAGCTGTTCATGTGCCCCCTCCTCCACTCCACCCCCTATTCCTCTCTTTATTACATCCTATGAGGAATTAACAGCTGCATCCCAACAAACACTCCAAGCCAAAGACAAGGACAAAGGGTCCCAGTGAGTAACAGCTCAGATCAATGTCTGGACCAGTTCATGTGGACCCCGTGCACAATGAGCCACCTATTGAAATACTGAACTAGGAAAACATCCCAGAATACTCTAGTCAGCAGAAGCAACTGACAGTACGATCTTCCGGCAGAGTGTGAGAACCTCACACGTTTAAAGCCTGGAACCCATCAAGCCAATTTCCGGCCGACGGCAGCTGTGAGGTTGTTGATGACAGTTTGGTGACTGCCTGTCAGGCCAGTCTGTGTGGCACGGATGGACACAGCTGGTCCCTGCTGATGCTATTCATGCAATGACACCAAGGCCACACCAAGACCACACCAAGGCCATGCTGAGACCACACCAAGGCCACACCAAGACCACACCGAAGCCACACCAAGGCCATGCTGAGGCCACACCAAGACCACACCAAGGCCANCCACACCAAGGCCACACCAAGACCACACCGAAGCCACACCAAGGCCATGCTGAGGCCACACCAAGACCACACCAAGGCCATGCTGAGGCCACACCAAGACCACACCAAGGCCATGCTGAGGCCACACCAAGACCACACCGAGGCCACACCAAGGCCACACCAAGGTCATGCTGAGGCCACACCAAAGCCACACCAAGGCCACACTGAAGGCACACCAAGACCACACCGAGGTCACACCAAGGCCACGCCGAAGCCACACCAAGACCATACCGAGGCCACACCAAGACCACACCAAAGCCACACCAAGGCCATGCTGAGGCCACACCAAAACCTCGCCATTCCACTTGTAAGTGCACTGGGGAGGGTGTCAGTTTTGACATGACACAGGTCACTAAGGGCATTTTTCCACCACACAAATTACAGTACTTTTGGTACAGTACTTTCGGTACTTTCGCTTTTCCATTGACTTCCGGTCGAGTACCAGTACCGAAAGTGCCAAACCAGCTGGGGTACTTCTTTGGTACTTCGGTACTTTGGGGTGGGAGTTACAAACGTATTTGCTGTCGATTGGTTATGCAAATAGCCTGCGGCTGAAACACAAAATACAACCGCCATCTTTTGAAACACACAGCGAACAGAGCGATCACAGCGAGAAACAAAATAAAAAGCAGTAGAAACAAAAATATAGAAAAGTAAAATGGAAGGATGGACAAACAAGGAAACACAGGCTTTAATCACCATATGGTCAGATGAACAGATCCAGCGGGATTTGGATGACACGACTCGAAATAAAAAAGTATTTGCCGTAATAGCAAGTGGCTTGGAAGAAATGGGGCACAAGCAAAACACCGAACAATGCCGCTTGAAAATCAAAAAATTTAAGCAGGACTACAGGAAAGTATGTGATGATGTCAGTCAGGGGTGGTCACTGATGATGTCATTTGGCACCAGTACCAGTTTTTATGCCAGTGGAAAACAGACACAAAAGAAGTACCATACTTTTGGTACTTTATGGAAGTACTGAAAGTACGGTACCTGGTGCGGTGGAAAAACGCCCTAATATGTCATTATACAATGCCAAGCTCTGATTGGTCACTAAAGTGTCATGATACAATGCCAAGCTCTAATTGGTCACCACTCTGCCACTGTTAGAAGTTGCCAGTCAAACTCTTATGAGGATCCACCAGAGCAAAGAGACATGGTGCTACGAAGATGAGGATCCCAGAACAGGCAAGGACAGAGGAGACCCCCTGCAGCTCCACTACACCAGGTGACCCTCTCCCCCATCCCCAGAAGTGATGACGAGATGCTGAGGCTGGCATTGCAGGTGTGTCCTGGCCTGCAGCGTCAGGGGATCATGCTGGGTTCTGCTAGCGTCACTCCACAGCTGCGTACAGTTCTGAGTCTGTGTGTGTGTGTGTTGGGCAGAGATGTGGTTTTACATAGCTGCTGTAGTAGGGGCTGTAACAGAAATAGCAGCCTGCATCTCCAGTGAGCATTTATAGAGAAGCTAGGAGAGAAAGGAGGGAGGGAGGGAAAAGGAGGCAGGGGAAAAAGAGAGGGAGAAAGGAAGTAGGAGAAGAGAGAGGGAGACAGGTAGAGAGAAGAGAGAGGGAGAAAGAGGTGGGGGGGAAAGAGAGAGGGAGAGACGGTGGGATACAAGAGAGTAGGAGAAGCTGGGGGGAAGAGAGAGGAAGGGAGGATGAGGGAAAAGAGAGAGGAGGAGAGGAAGGGGAGAAAACAGAGGGAGACAGGCAGGGGAAAGAGAGGAAGAGAGGGTGGGGAGAAGAGAGAGGATGGGGAACAGAGAGAGCGATAAGGATGGGGAAGAGAGGGAGAGAGGATGGGAAGAAGACAGAGGTAAAGAGGTGAAGAGAAAAGAGAAGGAATAGGAGGTGATCAACAGAGAGATGAAGAGATGGATAAATACTGCAAAAGAGGGAAGGAGAGAGGGAGAAAAATAGAGATGGAAAGGGACATGGGGAAAATGTAGAAGAGATAGACAGAGGAGACAGAAAGAGGTCAGTCTGTCAGCAAAAGGAAGCGGCTCCAAAAGAAACTGAAAGGGGGGGGGGGCGGCAAAGATGCTGAGATAAAGAGAGTCATGTGGATGCCCCCCAAGAATAAATAAACAGATACACAGACTCCCTCTCACACACAGAGACACTACAGTACCTATCTCACAGACACACTCATGCTCTCTTTATCTTTATCTCTCACATAGGCACTCACACACACTTAGACACACACACACACTCACACACACTTAGACACACACACACACTCACACACACTTAGACACACACACACACTCACACACACATACACACACACACACACACACTCACACACACACAGACACACACACATACACACTCACACACACACACTCACACAGACACACACACACACTCACACACACACAGACACACACAGATGAAGTCTTATCGCCATTCTTAACAGACATCAACATGCATGGCAGACATTGGCATGGCTCCGTATTCCGTTCTGTACATTCCTCCCCCCTCACCTTTAGCAGCAAGCTGAATGCCCCCCCTTAGCGTCTGGCTGTGTCTGTATGGTATTGCACAGTTCCTGCTCCAATGCTAACTTACATACTTTGTACCTGATCACCAACTGGGAGCTCAGCCTAGCAGCACTGGTACCTTAGCTGGTTCCCTGACAGCTGTATGCCTGTGATCTGTGATCCTCCTCACCGGTACGTTGCTTTGGACAAAAGCATCTGCTAAATAAATTAATCTCCTGGCTCTATCAGAGTCATTTTCCACTGTTCCCAGTAAAACACAACAGTGGTCGCTACAGCATCTGTTCAGAGCTGCTCCTCTCAGTGGCTTGATGCAGTTTGGTTACTGATTTATTCAGATACAAGTGCTACCTGCCAGTCAGGTGCAGATTTTGTCTTGGTTTGACCCAAAACCAGTGCTGTGCAGGATGAGCAAAGCAGCAGGACCTGAAGTGCACTATGCCTGAAAAGAGAAGGGCCGTCAACTGGCCCCTGGGGGCCCACACCTGGGGGCGGGGACAGCCCGGCAGACATGAGGCTCGCTCAGAGTTGGGCACTGCAGGGATGGGGGTCGAGATGTCTTTTAGGGGACTCCCTTAGACTTCAGATTACACGGGAGACACACACAGTCCCGGGGCAGCACAGCCAACTCACGGGAGCTCATTCTGCTGAGGACTCATCAAAGACAAGATCATTTAAACGGTAGAGGAAGGCAAACCGCGAGGGGGGGAGTGAAGGGGGGGCCTGAGCGCACTGCCAAGCCAGGCAGGTCTTAACCAACAAGGAGGCTCTATGCCACGCGCCGCATTGCTAACAGCTTATTTCGGTCATTTCAGTGGCAAACGCTCACATTCTCACTGCTCCCAGACAGGAAGAGGCTCTCCTGCACTCCATCTGCTCAGTGGGGCCTGTCTCGAGGAGCCCACCATAGAGGCAGCTCAGCTACAAGCAGGGCCGGCTCAGTGGGGCCTGTCTCGCGGAGCCCACCATAGAGGCAGCTCAGCAACAAGCAGGGCCGGCACCCCTGCTCTCTCCTCAGATTTACATGGAGAGAGGCCTCCTCGCCACACCTTTTCCAGATCCAGCCAATCCAGTGGCCTGTACTACGAAGCGGGGTTACTGGCTTATCGGGGTAACTTGTCGGATTTAAGGTACCACAGTTTAAATGGACTTCATATTCGTTCACTTACATTTTGCTCCGATAAGCCAGTAACCCTGCTTCGTAGTACAGGTCCCAGGCCAGGTCTAAGGGTCCTGAGGGACATGGTCTCCACCTACCTTTACAAGTGAAGCACCTGATATGAAAGTGCTTGGACTGCACCCTCAGCACCTCCCCCTTGCATGGCTCCCTGCACTTGTGACACTGGATCACTGGCTTCTCCATGGGTCTGTGGCTGTCCTGGGCCTGGGCCACTACAGCAGAGGAGGAAGGAAAGACCAGGCATGAGCAATAGACACACGCACACCACAAACGACGGCACACAGACATGAGTAATCAGCATGTCTGACGATGAGCAGCTGACACATGGAATCACTGGATGCGTGCGGCTTTAGCACTGGGATACTCCAAATGGAGCACTGAAGTAGACCTCCTCCCCCTGGGCTCTGGTGCTTGGCCCCCACCCCTCCCCCTCTACATCACAGCCATTAAGCTTTCATCGACCACCTTCTTCCTCTTCTGTGCACTGAGCCATCGATCGAACCGAAGGCCGTAATGCTGTCTTAAGCAGAGCGACTGAGAGCAGCACAAAGAGGCCAAGGTCAGTGCACATTGCTCTGCTCAAGGTCACTAATCCCACAAACCATATCCTCAGAGCAGTTAAACAAACACAGCCGACTGACGCAATGAGACAATGGGACTGCCATGCTCTGAGACTTGCAGAAAATGTGTGTGCTTCTGTGTGCCGTGTTCTGTGTGCACATCCCATGCACATCCCATCCACGGTGTTCATTTGTCTGGTGGATGGACTCCAGGTCTCCCAGCAACCCTGAATAAGTGGTTAGAAGATGGTCAGCTGTCACATCCACATTCAGCCAATTGGAAACACATTACATGAATGCCAGTCTACGTCTTAGAATGTAGCTCAGAAAGTAGACGGTAAGAGATGTAGACGGTAAGAGATGCGAGTGGAGTACACTGAGGCCTGCTCTTCCCAGCTACCCAGTATCTCAGCAGACTGTCAGCATGTCCTTCAAGCTGCAACACGGTTCCTAGAAGGCTGTCTCCGCCACCGGCTCCCAGTTTAGTCTGCCAGATAGGCCTCAATCTAATCTCTGCCTACTTGAGAGGCCAACCAGAAGCCTCAGCTGGAAGGAATGCGCTTCCCCAGGAATAGGGTGTATATCGGGCCTCGATAAGCAAGAAGAGCCCCAGAAACCTACTCACGAGGTGCCTCACTGGGCTGCCTCCCCAAAATGGATGCCGGCTCACTTATCGGCTTCTCCGGGATACAAGATTCCAGGAAAATAATTTTTCAAAATAGCAGGCGCACTTCCAAACCAGAGGCATTGTCGTTTATGACACCCCCCCAAGCAGCAGGAGAGGAAGGGGCTACTAGGGGTTATTTGTGGCATCTTCATATCTAGAGCAACAGTAAACTCCAGCCCCATAAACAAGCCCCTGTGGTTTTATAAGACCCCTGCCCCTGCTTTGCTATTACATCTTGTTCCTCCTGCCTTCAAAGAAATTCACAGAAATCAGCGCTTGAGCCAGTGACACGGTGCTACATCAGCCCTGGATGTGTGCAGCATGGACGAGTCCACAAACACGAACACATCATGACACTAAACACTCCGTAACAGGCAGAGTGCCACATGGAGCTGCGTGCCAGGGACACCTCCCCTCTCTCTGGCAGCGCTCAGAGACAAAGGTGCCAGCACTGTGGCAAGGACACAAACAGCTGTCACCAGCAGGTTTCACAGTCCCCCAGATTCCAGTCCCCTGGGTCAGTTGTGACCTAAGCTTTGGGATCCCTATCTCTCATGGATCTCTCCCATGGCTGAGCCAGCGGTAGCCCTTGATGAGTTTCCTAAATATACCATTGAGACCTGCTCACTCTACATCAGCTAGGCAGACAGACTTACTATACTTTACATCGGCTAGGCAGACAGACCTACCGCACTCTACATCGGCTATGCAGACAGACCTACTATACTCTAAATCGGCTAGGCAGACAGACCTACTGCACTCTACATCACTAGGCAGACAGACCTACTGTACTCTATATCGCCTAGGCAGACAGACCTACTAC